CGGGTCAGGGTTTGGCAAAGGGCTTTTCTCAAGCATGACAGAGGCACTAAGCCCTCGCTGTCACCCAACTGCAATATTCTTGATATCACTTCAGCCACGAGAGATGAATTCACAGAGTGGCCTCCTCCTTCCTCAACCAGAGGTAAACAACGCTCCTGTATTTACTTTAAGGCACTCAATATATTTTTGTAATCTATCCCAATAATTAGGTGAACAACACTGCCGTTAGCCCCCGGAACAGGATTCCGGTGTCCTTCAAAACCATCCCAACTAATCCTATGAGTTACCAGCCTGACCAGCAGGCAAACACCTGGGCCCAGAGCAGCAGCCCCATGGGGGAAAGAGGCACAGGGAAAGCTTCGGAGTCGGCGCTGTTGGGCTGGGCGGGATGAACGGACAGAGCAACCTCAGTCTCGCTGAGGTTCAAGGAGAAGTGTGGCCTAAAAGGGGATGAAAAGCAGGCTCTGTGCTGAAGTCTGAGGTTGTTTGCTTTAGAATGGAGACAGAAATATTCCAGTAACACAGGAACAGAAAACCAGCCCTGGGGGAGAGGTAGTAGGTTGTCTGGTGCTCCCTGGTTACCAGGTTATGGGATTGCCGTTGGAGCTCCAGGCCGAGAATAGACACATGAAAAACATCATCAGGGAAGGGGAAAGCTGTGGTTCAAACTGGAATTTACTGCCATTTTTACTGTCTCACCAACAGCAAAGGCGAGTTCCCGTCCTCCTCCTCTTACAGACCGCTGTACTCAGAAACACCGCTGCTCTCACCTGCGTTTTGACGTTTTCCGGGTCCTCGGTTTGGCTCTCTCTCTTCAGGCTCGGCTTCCAGGCGTTCTCTGCCTTCTTCAGGTGCACGTCCTCCTTCACACACACAGTGATGATCTTCCGGGGCTCTCTCCTCTGGCCTGGCTGAGATCTCCTCGGTCCAACATTCAACAACTAGGACAAAAACAGTCCTTGTTACACCCCCTTTTCAACGCTCATCTCCGCACCACCACTCCGGGTGCACGCCAACACCCGCCGACGGCAACGCCGACCATCAGCGGCTCCTCCTGCGGCTGCTCGGACTCCCTCCGACCCGACACACCGTCCGGCCTGGTCAGAGGGAACACGAAGACACCAGACACGCTTCCCTCGGGCAGCTTGGCCCCCGACAGACAGGGGCCAGCGACCACTGCCTACGTGCATCGGTGATGCTCCAGCCGCTGCAGAAACCAACCCCGCTGGCTGACACAGCCTCTCAGAAGCCAGAAACCACCTAACAGAGGCACCAGCGCAGAGGGACATTTAAGGATCAAATCAGCCCTTATGGGCGTATTTCAAACGTGCCATCCCAAGCGATTAGATAACGACAAATTAGCAGCTCTACCAAAAACGTGAAGTTGCACTGGAGATGGCTTCAAACAGCGGGATTTTGAGATAGGCATTCTACCAAACACTCTGCACGGAGCATCGGTGCCGCTCGCACGCGGCGGAAACACGGACCCTAGCAGACGTGCCCCACGCTCTTTGTACTTGGCAGAGGAAAGGGAAACCCAGCGCTTTGTGTGAAGCGGCATCAAGCCCCCCTCTGCGACCCTGCGTAACACAGTGCTCTCCCAGGTCAAATCGGGCACGAAAACTGCCGAAACTGGGGGTTTTTCCATCAGCTGTACAAGTGATAAGCAAGCCACAAGGCACCCCCAAACTCCCTCATCACTGTCTGGGAGCTTCCCATTAAGGACCAGAGGTATAGAAACATAGAATCATAGAATCACAGAATGGTTTGGGTTGGAAGGGACCTTAAAGATCATCCAGTTCCAACCCCCTGCCATGGGCAGGGACACCTTCCACTAGACCAGCTTGCTCCAAGCCTCATCCAGCCTGCCCTTGGACACTCCCATGGATGTGGCATCCAGAGCTTCTCTGGGCAACCTGTCCCAGTGCCTCCCCACCCTCTCTGGGAAGAATTTCTTCCTGATATCTAATCTAAACCTCCCTGATTTCAATTTGTACCCGTTACCCCTTGTCCTATCACTACAGACCCTTGTAAAAAGCCCTCTCCCAGCACCCTTGTAGCCCCTTCAGGCACCGGAAGGTGCTATAAGGTCTCCCCAGAGCCTTCTCTTCTCCAGGCTGAACAAGCTCAATTCTCCCAGCCCATCCCCATAGCAGAGGGGCTCCAGCCCTCGGAGCATCTCCGTGGCTTCCTCTGGACTCGCTCCAAGTGGTCTATATCCTTCTGATGTTGAGGGCTCCACAGCTGGACGCAGCACTCCAGGTGGGGTCTCACCAGAGCAGAGTACAGGGGCAGAATCCCCTCCCTCGCCCCCCTGGCCACACTTCTCTGGATACAGCCCAGGATACGGTTGTATCACATGTTGTCAGGAGGTTATTCTCACTCTGCACTCCGTCGCGTTTCTGATCTCATTTATTAGAGATGCCCAATGTCTAATGCCAATGTAGAGCCGAGTGCAACAACTGAACCCCTTCAGCGAAGCCCGTTACCTGCCACCCAAGTCGTTAGTCTCTTCAGCGGGCAGCAGGCACCTCCCCACCAAAGATGGGCCACTGAGAACATCTGCGTTCAGCAAAGGGATTCAAGGAGCACCAGGGAAGCAAAGCCATCCCAGATATTCAAACAGCTTCCCTGAACACAGGACAGGCTCTGAGCTGGAGCCTCTCATCACCTGTCAGCCCCAAACCTGGTTTTGGCACAATTTCAAACAAAACCACCTTCAAGGCAGGAGTTTGTGTCTGCGACTCGAACTGCTTAGCTGTCAGGATGCGTGAGCCACGGTCGCCGAAAGCGAGCGAGCGTAACCCCCGGGGTTCTTGTTCGGGCTTCAGGACGCGGTAACGGCAGGGTAAGCCCCTGTTTTTCTCGTGCCCCGTAGGCTGAGTCGACAGCCAGCCAGGGGCTCCGTAGCGCGGGGGTTAGCCTGCTGCCCCACCGCCTACGACCCCCGGCGTTCAGATCCCGCTGGTAGGCACAGAAATAACCCCTCAGGCTCGTGCAAAGCGTTTCGGGCGCGTGCCGTGGTTGGAATGCAGCCCGAGTCAGGCGCCAGCGCCACGCGGCAGCGAGGACGGGGAGCCCCGACGACGCTTTGTGCGTCAGGTGCTCCCCTACAACAGTCACCAGTCCCTACGGCTCCGCTCCCGCCCTTGATCGCCGCCGGGACGGCGCAGCAAAGCCCGCCCTGCAGCCACCTCTGCGTGTAGGCACTTCCGCACAGTTCTGCTGCCCGGGTCTAACCCCGCTGCACACGCACGGC